AGTTTCCCCTGACTCCTAGAAGCTGATGATAGAAAGGGAAACAGGATGATGAAATAGAGATAGCAGACAGCACAGGCTGGTGGATGTAGAGATCTGAAGTCGGCCAAATGAATCCGCCAACGGTAGTCTGTTGAAGGCTCCTGGGATTGGCTTATGACACAACAGGAGACCGAGCAACCAGACACAAGATCCAGCTCTGGCAGAAGGAAAAGGCCAAAGAGAGATTGGACTCTGTTACACAAAAATGTCTTATGGCACCAAAGAGTTGTCGTCACCCAATTGATAAGTTGGGCTCTGCCCCAACCCTTACCCAGGAGTATCTAGTTGAGAAAGTCCCTTACCATCACAGGAACCAACCACTACTCTGGAAGATTCAGTAAGGAATAATTTGGGGCTAGGAGGCAGCAAATTAAGTCAGCCATTCCTTCGTCTTTTATATCCCAGGATGCTAAGTTCTTCTTCTGTGCAGCTCATTTGTCAGTAGGCTTGTGGCCTCAGCTGTGCTCACGTGCCAGCCATAATGGCAGACCCCGGGGTGCAGAACATCATGCTGCAAAAAGCATAGCAGTTTCCAGAGGGTAGTGTTGTGTTGTGTCCACTCTTCCTTTGCATAATGACTGGGTCAATGGTCATTGGGAAGGGAAGAGTTGGTATTGTGTGAATAATAGTTTTGCAGGGGAAAAAACCACATTTCCCTCCCTCCTGGGTACCTTGCAGTGTCTCCAATTTCTCAATTCCTGACAAAATTTCACAAGATATGATTCAAATTTTTAAAAAATATATTTACATAAAGTCACAAAATCCCAGAAAAATCTTGGGACAATATCAGCTATTGGCACTAAAAAGATCTTGAAAAACCCTGAACCCAGGCTTTGGCCTTATATTATATTATTTCTTTCATGTGAGCTGATCTATTGATCCTGACAAGTCATTAAAAATATTTCATTGGATTAGGGGATCTCTAGGTCTCATATATAAAATATTATTCATTTATTCATTAAATCTGATTTTCACCTACCTATCTAATTAATAACTATTTATTATCCTCCTGCTATTTTTCAGACACTACACACTGCAAAAATCATCATTGTTGTATTACTAGTTAATATTAGCTTTGGGGGAAGCTCTAACTTTGCATCATCTGTAATAGGGATGCAATGATGTATACATTCCAGAGGCAAATTTTATGATGGCCAGAGTAATATAAATACTTCTTTTTAATAATAGGAAAGTGTTATCACTGAATTGCATATCATAAAGCCATTTACATTCCAGTAGCTGAGGCAACTATAATTCATAATTTTTTGCCAAGTAAATAATTATTTAGGAAGTGTGAGGTTGAATTTTAGATCTTGAAATATTTATTCCTTACATAGAGATAGTAAACTAAGATTCTTCCATTTAATATAGCATGAATACCAAGTTGAGTGTGTAGATTTTATCATATTATTTAAGTTCAGATATACCATTCTGTGATAATAATTAGGGATTAGATATCTGAAGAGCATTAATATGTCTCCTATAAAGATAATGGGGTGAAGTAAAGAGTGATTTTATTAAAATGTAGCTTTTATGTGAGACAACATTTATTAAAATCCACTTTTATGTGAGACAGCATTTCTACCTGGCTTTCTGGATGTAATTTATGAACCTCATTCATATTGTCCATAAGGTTTGCTGAAATCAATCCACAACTGTAAGAAATGTTTTTCTAGTTCACTGTACCAGAAGGAATAAAAATGTCCTAAAGTTCCTTTAAAGAAGGAATTATTATCACAGTTAGCCTCCTTGATCTTGTTGAATAATAATTATTAAGTCTGTTGAGTTGTTTCCATTAGCCAGAAAATATTCTCATTACTTTAAATTTTAGAATCACTTAAATATCCATTGTCCTTACAAATTAAGTTCTTTATTTTCATCTCCACTTTCAATGAACAAAAGGTATTTGAGCGATTTGAGCACCATCATTTCATGGAAAAGCTGTGACCCGAACATTGCCGAGTGGCCTGGAGACCATCTTTGGAGCCACAAGACCATACAGCTCTCATCCTGAAGCTGTGATCCGAACATTGCCGAGTGGCCTGGAGACCATCTTTGGAGCCACAAGACCATACAGCTCTCACCCTGAACGTGAGACCCTGCAACAGTACTCATTCCATGTTTCCAATGGCCATGCGGCTCCACACGTTCTTTTCTTATTTCTTCATACTCAATACATTTTTCAAATTGCAGGTTCCAAGACTGTATCACATATGATTAGTCTATTTTGCACAAGGTATATTACAGAAAGGTTACACAGAGACATACATGTACAACTTAGTTGGCTTTTGACTGACTGAAGGAATTATGTGGAAGTACATCAAGGACATAGTTTTATATCTGAAAGACCATTTAAAACAGGGTTGGGCAAATTATGATCTTATCAATAGTACATAAAAAATTCCTAGTTCCTCATATCCTGGTCAGAATTTTATATTAGATCTTTGTATTTTTGTCAAATGATGGTATTGAAGTTCAACTTCATTAGCTTAATTTACATTATCCACTTTACAAGTGTGGTTAAATAGCTTTTATTTTATCAATAAAGTTTATTATTTATACCATAAAATAGAAAGATCCACTTATCATAACTGTATATTTTTACTTATGTGCCGTTTGAAGAAATACTACAATAAAAACTGATTTATAAATGTGATATTTTCCTCTTGAAATGATCTGAACACTCTTTTTCATCACTGCATTGCATATGCCTGTATTAGATTTTGAAGCATATTAGTATACACATATAAGCAACATTGGGGTTAGTGTTCACATAGTGTATTATTTTCCTCCTCTTGTTTTGCTTACAAACATTATTTTTCTTTATATTTAAAGTGGATATTTTATGGGAATCAAACTTTTGTTTGATGTTATCTGATAATTTCAATCTTGTTCTTGGATATTTAGACCATTCTTGTTTTAATATAATTACTGACATACTTAGATTGAACAAAAAAAAACACAAAAACCCAAACCTGTTGTTATCAGGTGGACTTATGGTTCTGCATGTGTGTCTGAGTAGAATTGTGTCCAGCAGGGTTTGAAATCCCTTTGGCTACTTGGAAGTAAATTGCCAGACTGAGATGGTTGTGGATGGAATCAGACCAGGAAGTTTTCCATTTGTACAATCCAGGAACTTGGTAGCCATAATTTAGTATGTCTTTTCAATTTAGTCTATTTTTAAATCAATAATTTGACTAGAAGGTAAAATTATTTATTAAGCTTGTATGCTTATAAAGTACTATTGTCTGCACACATGTATAAATATTTATATCATATCCCCAATATATGTATATATTGCATCATATTTATAGATATTCTAGGTGGTATCTTTCATGCCAGAATTTACCCCTTTCTGCTAAATAATATGAGGCTAATCATACTCATTTAATCGGGAAATAGTCTCCATTAGGAGGTAGATTAAAGTATTTATAAAACTTAAATTAATCCTGGATATTCTTTGTTGTAATTTTGCATAAAAGGTCTGAAGTTCTGTGGGAAATTCAGTTCTTATAATCAAAACTTTGCATATTAATGTGAGCTAGATGTTTTCAATGTATTAGAAAAGTGATATGAGAGGTTTATGAATCTGTTCTGACTGATCAAAGAAATAACTTATTTAGAAATCACTCTACGCTTTCACTCTGAGTGAGCTGAAGGAAAAGGAGCATGTGTTCCTTAAACCAGGTTAAATTTATAATTCATTTTTAAAACGGGCGTGAGAGACATCTTTTAAAATATCAAAATGCCGCAAGAGTATTCTGAATTATATTACCAATCTATTGCTCTATAGTAGGATCTGGGGTGGTACCTCAGGTTTGGTGTTGGGCTGCTCACTGCAAGGTCAGGTGTTCAAACCCACCAGTCTCTGTGGGAGAAAGATGAGGTTGTCTGTTCCTTTAAAGATTAAAGACTTAGAAACCCTATCTAGGGGTCTCTATGAGCCAGAATATACCAGTGGATTTGGTTCCTCTACATTATCTTTTCTTTTCCATTCCACACCCTCTCCTTGTTTTTGTCTGAAAGGAAGAACATTAAAAGGAAAAAGTATTCACTGGATAGGAACTGTGGTTTTTCTGGAGCATGTACTATTGTGGCATGTTAGAGATTTTTAAAATGAAACAAAATACATGAGAAAAAGATCAGATTCCCCAAAGTTATCAGGAGTTAATTAATGAAGGTGATTAAACAACTGCATGACCTTTTAAAGAAGGAATGTTAAGAAATAATATTTGAATAAAACTGTTGTCAAAAACCAAAAGATAGTCATCACTCTTCTTGTGTTATCTTTATCTGGCTGACTCACTGCTATGGGTCTGTTCTTCCTCATAGGGACTCCATAGGGTGGGGAAGAAGTGCCCTGTGTGTTTCCAAGACTGTAACTCTGAAGGGTAGGAGAAAGCTTTCTCATTCTCCCGCTGAGCAGCTGGTGGTTCTGAACCACTGACTTTGCAGTTAACCGCACAATGTGTAGGACACTACACCAAGAGGGCCCCTCTTTAACCGACCGAATCACTTCAAACTGGCAGCTACTGTTGTACTATCTTTATGTGACAGCACCGTTTAAATTTGTGTTCGTTTTACGCTTCTACTTTCATAACTAGATTTAAGATTTCCAAAATGAAAAATGCCATTGACTACTTTCATTTACTTCAGAATTCATGCACCTTAACATACCATCTTATTTGGTGCTTTAAAGCATGTTTAATAATGGCACTATATCACAAATACAGCAAAGATGAAAAAGGATGTCATGAACTCAGAGCCTACGTCTCCAGTGAACGTGCTCTAGCTGCAAGAACAAGGGACAACGTAGACTCCACAGTGAATATCAAGCACTCTTGAATTGGATAGCCACCGCAGATGCTCAGAAACTGGCATTGTGTAAAAGAAAGCACATCGCAATGAACACATCCTTAATTATAATATCACATTGTGACAGTTCATAGATAAAAACTTACCCTATCAAGAGCTGCTTTCTCCAATTCATTTTTGGCAACAGCCAATTTTTGCTCCAGATCAGTAAGCTGTTGAGCCTGAAAATTAAAGAGGAAAATCAGTAAAATTTATAATCTCCTTTCTTTATTTTTAATGTTTTTCATTAGTTACCCATAAATTATATTTTTACTCCATGGAAACCAGTTAGAATTTTATGGTCATATGATTAGGCTGCATAAAATAGTGGTTTAGGTTACATTGACTAAATGCTTCACGGGACCATGCACTTATTCCTGTTTAAGCCACAAAAAGTACTTAAAATTATAATTTATAAGCTGTGTCTCTACTATACACTTTTCTTATTATGGTACTTAAACCCATATGCTTCTTGATTGTATCATATCTCTGCACCTTTAAAAATGTATAACTGTGGTATTATAAGAAAAGAGAAATGTCCTATGAATAAAAGATCTGTATTGAACACTTGTTTATTATTCAATCGTGGGCAAAAATTGAAATGGCAGTCATTTTATACACCATATTTTCAGGGTTCAAAAAAGGAGTGGTAATCTTGTAAGTTTTGTTATTAGCTTGCACATGACACTCATACCACTTTACTGAATTAAATTAATATTTCATTCATCCATTCCTATATTGATTAATTTCCTTATCTTTTACTATTTCAGGCAATATCCTCAGTCTTGGGGAATGCAGAAGTTACTTAAAAATTGTTAGGTACTGCCTGGTCCTTACCTCTTCACAGTGGCACTATGGACTACAGGCCAAAACATGGCCAGGACTATATGATTCCCAAAATGTTTGTGATGTGTGAGCCCATTGTTGCAGTCACTGTGTGAATACATCTTGTCGGGAATTTTCGTCCTTATTCACCTGCCCTATACTTTACCAAATACGATGTCCCTCTCCAGGGACTGGTCATGCCTGATAATATGCCCATACTATACGAGATCAAGTGTCACCATCTTCTTTTTAAGGAGCTTTCCAGTTGTAGTTCCAAGATAGTTTCGTTCTTTCTTCTCGCCATCTACAGTATGTTGTTCACTCACAAAAAATCCAAATACAGAAATCTTCCTGGGTCCCCCTGGATCAATGTTGAGCATTCACATGTATATGAAGAGACTGAAAATACCATGGCTTCGGTACCTTCACCTTTACCCTCTAAGTGACATCTTCTTAATATTTTAAATTGGTCTGTTGTCTTAGATTTGCCCAAGACAATACATCATTTGGTTTCTTGATTGGTGTTTCCATGAACATTGACTATGAATCTTTCCTAGTAAAATGAAATTCCTGGTAATTGCAATAGTTTCTCCATTTACCTGGTTGTTCCCTGAAGTTGCTTACAAATTTGTTTGCTCAGTTAGTTCACTTAATATAGTTGGTTTTAATATATGCCAAGAACATGATGAACTGTTGTATTTATTTGAATATACTTCATAACCACTGCCTTCTATTTTATCAAAATTCTTTACAAGTCATTTTGAACTCCTAAACTATAAATCAAACACTATTCTGTACATGGGTGGTATAATGGTAAATACAAAAACATCCCTGTCCTCAATGAAATATTGATAATTTAATTTTTTAAGACTAGGAAGAAGAATAAGTAATATGGAGGTAACTAACATTAATGGCTCAAATATCAAAATTTTCATACCTCTTCTTATTATATCCAAATACTTGACCATGTAACTTTACAGTTCCTCACTTCAAGAAGTGTATTCACCTCCCTGTGGATTTTGATTTCATCTATGGAAGTTACTTGGTGAATTGGATTGAAAAATAAAATACACACAATTGACCTGTTCTCTTCTTGTCTCCCATCATCAGAGGAAGAAATGGCTTAGCTAAACTACTCGAGCAGAGCTGCCTCAGTTAAATTGCTATCTTTAAGCCCAAACTAGAGAACAGACCATTGTCAACTGACTGATGGATAGGAAAGCCTTCAGGTGAAAAAAGCTATGCCTAAGCCTGGCCAAGATTACTGACTGCCAGCCAAGCCACAGATGCTTGTGATGAACAAAATACATTTTTGTTTCAGCCTTGGATTGTAGGCTCTTTGCCTTCCAGAAAAAGCTAATTGATACTATGCGGACCATCAAGGTATTTGATCTGATTAAGTAAATTTAAGCAATGACATAAATCCTGAGAATAATCAAATCAGGCAAAAATGAGGGGAGAGGGTTTTCAGAGCCCAACGAGGAAATTAGTAGCATATTTTGAAGAAAATTAGTTCAATATATCCAGAGCATACTGAATAAGTGGACAATGACAGAGAAATAAAATTAAAAAGAGCCAAATAACATGCATTATTTGGCATATTATCTTAATGAAAACCTTAAGGAAATTGGTAAGCTCCCCAAAATGATATTTGCATCTCATACATCGAGTGGTCACATTATCTCCAGTAATACCCAATCTTATGCAAGTATGCATTTCCTATGTTTGACTCTACATGTAACACAAGGTGCATTTCTGAAGTTGCAGGTTGCTTTCCCTCTCTGGTTTGTCCTCTGGAGAGGAATCAGAACAAAGAAATGGGAGCTCACTGTAGAAGACCCAACACGGGAGCCTGAAGACGGATTTTAACTTTTACGACTTGTAAACACTTTAGGCGACATATTGCCTTTGTGCATTCCTTAGTTTCCTTTTCTGTGAAAAATAAGGATGGCGAAATACCTGTCTCAAAATATTGCTATAATCATTTAACAATAAATAGGAAAGCCAGGGAAAAAAGGATGCATTTGAACTACGTCATTGGGGAAAAGTAAACTACGCCATGGACTACTAGAAGGGCAAACCTCTTTGAAAGAAGTGGAGCTTGATGGCGCCTTGGGAATGATGAGGCTGAGATTTTGGACACATTATCAGGAAGCGGTAGGCCTGGGAGTAGGACAACGTGCTTGATAAAGTGAAGGTGAAGAAAAGAGGTGAAGACCCTCACTGGGATGGCTTGACACAGTAGCCACAATGGGTTCAAACATCAATAATTTATGTTTGGGGTAGGACTGGGCGATGTGTTCTTCTTTTGCACAAAGGGCCACTGTGATTCAGACCCAAGTCAATGGAGTCCAACAATAGCGATAGAAATGCTAAAGAGCAGCACTAGTTTGAGGGCAAGTGTTAGTATATAAATGTTCGGTACCAGTGCAAACCTTTCCAGTACCAGTGCAAATGTTACTATGTCAACGTTAGATAATTAATATAAACAAGGCTTACATGAGGCACTTTTGTTTTGTGTGTGTGTGTGTCTCGCGAGCACATGCGTGTGCGCACACAGCTGAGTGCTTACCTACGTGCTAGTGGGGCTCCCTGAGTCATCATATAATGCCAACTCGTTGCTATCAAATTAACCTCAACTCATGGCAGTCCTACATTAGAGTCAGCAGGAGTAGAATGCCTCATCTTTTTCCTGCATAGTTACTGGTGGTTTTGAACTACTGACCTTGTCAGTAGCAGCCCAAAATGTAATCCACTACACCAACAGACTCCTTAATAGGGGACATAAAATTCCATACCCAAACACTTTGAGGGTAGAAACCATCAAAAGATCTGTAGAAGACAGGAAGCTTTACTAAGCAGTATATTTTATTTTAGGTCAATAGAGTTAAGCTGAGAAAGTGCAGTCTTTACTTATGAAATAAGGTAAAAGATTATTTGACAGGATTTGGGTACGATTCTAGAATAGTTTTCTTTCACATGCAATCGCTGAATATATTCAAGTCCGAAATTTCTCTCAGCTTGTGAAGTATCACCTGAGAACATAAGGTTGAAAATATACATTCACTGTGCATCTGGTCCTAATAGCACAAAGTCAAAAAACTAAGCAGACAAAACTGAAATCACAATGTAAGATGCTACTTCTAGACTGAAGGTCTGTATAAACTGCAACTGGGAGAATAGGATTGCTGAATATGATAAGAGAGAGCGAAGTCCCCCCCACTGCCAATAAAATAATGGCAAAGCTCATATTATTTAATTTCTCATATGGGCACATTTTTTACATTTGAATTACACAACATATTTGAAAAGTAGAACACATAGTCTAATGATTAATATTTCTTATGAAATATGTATGGTGCTTTAGAGATACACATTGCTAAGGGTCATGATGTGGCACAAACTATTTGACGCCATATCTAAACCTCCTAAGCATGCTCTGCACTGCGTTTCTCAAGTATTTGCTGGAAATGAATCAAGATTATGAAGACTGGCACCTTATTTACTTTTCTTTATTTCTGAGAAGCCTAAAGTAAGAGGTGGCCTGGTGGAAGTAGGAAAAAAAAATAAAATCACACAATGCCAGACAGAACCTTTATCTAAAATTTCAATGAATCATTGTACAAAACTGTGTCAAATAGCTAAATATGCAAGATACTAAATATTCTGCTTCCATATTTCTAAAAACCTCATCACAATACATTTTTCCAACCTTTTTCACTCTCTCCATCTAAGATTAGCCAGCTGTCCTTTCTTTCATTTTTCTGATGAAATAATCTGAAATATAGAGAGTATAAAAATATGTATACTCTATTTTTTCTGAAAAAAGCCTGAGTCAATTTTCCTATTAACTAGCAGAATACATATAATAAACGTAAACAAAACATATCAGAGAAACATATATAGTAATAAGGGTTATGGGTGGGATGAGAAGTTTGAGTCAGGTAGTGACTGTCGAAAATGGGCACCAAAAATGGTGTCATAAAGCTCTATCTACTTCTCCTGGATGAGCTGTAAATTTTGTTCCAAGTCTCCTGGCAGCCATGTATAAACAGAAATGCTCTTGGCTCCTAAATTCTCATTAAGGAGGATTAGTAAACAAACCAGAGACACAGAAGGTATAAAGCTTTTCCAAGCATTAAGTTCTGAAATAGAATGCTGAAAAACAAAGCTGTTTATTCAGCTCATTAAAAAAAAAACAAAAAAAAAAAACCCAAACACCCTTTTTTTCTGTGGCCAAGAAAGAAGGGAATCCAAATTCCTGGCTTATCACCAACCCAAGATAACATGTAGAGAGCTTCAAGTTTGTATTTTGTTTGGTTGACTTTGTTTGCTTGTTTCCCACCAAGACACAGGA